TTTACCTATACAGGGTGTTTCATCAATATTGCACAAAACTTCGAGGCCATTAATTGGGTCAAAATAAAAAGAAAAGGTCATATAAACATATGTCCGAGAACGATCCATCCAGAGATAGATACATCAAATTCTTAAAGAAAATCGATTTTTTATTAATTTCTATAATATGCCTAAACTGATAGTGATAAAATTCACAATGCCTGTTGAAATCACAATGAGGAATTTTTTTGGCCTAATACAATTGATTGAGTATCATCAGGGGCGTTCCCACGGGGCAAGTGCATTAGTTTTCTGCACAAAAAATAACACCCATTATATTTTCTCCATATCTTTTCAATTTTTTTTATTCAAGCAACTCAGAATACATACCTATCTTTCCGCTCTTTAGTTTTTTTCGTATCTAGCTGCGTTTTAGGAGTAATAAACAAAAAACAAACCTATGCATGATGTGAACCCGATGAGAGAAAAACTGTAATAATCAAAATCTAGTTGCCTACCAATGTCAATGTCAAACCTGAACACCCTGTATCTCGGAAACGAATCGTTTTTGGACATATGTTTATATAAACTGTTTTTCTTATTTTGACCCAAATAATACGTCCTCGAAGTTTTGTGCAATATTATTAAAACACCGTGTATACTATCAATCATAATATATCTTCCATTATTGAGTTGAATTTAATTATCATAAAAAATACTATTATTTCGTCAATCTGTAGCTATGGAAAAAACAAATATCACTGACCTTTTTTTTAACTAAACCGAACCACTGAGCTGCTAAAAGCCCTGATATTGAACACCGAAAAAAAGATGTATTGCTTCAATAAATTATTGGATTGAGCAGTTTTTTTGTTGAATTAACCTGATATCAATTCAAGAAAACTTCTTGTTTTCACCAAGAATTCATTTTAATATAATAATATTTTTGAACATTTAATGGTAAAAAGTGATCTCGCGATATTTAGCAAGCAAAAATAGGCTTGCCTCTGCTGAAGACTAAAGGCCTATATATAAGAAATCTACTATATAGATATACTAGTTTCACTTTCACATTCTATATTCTACTTTGAAAATATTGTATATGTATTTATAATAAACCTCGGAATCAAAATTTGATATAACAAAACAATTTGTCAAATCTTGAATCGACGGAATATTTCGTGGAATCAATATCTTGTTATTTCAAATCAAAAAATATAATCATTTATAGAAATCCCTCTCTGAACAATTCATGTATTTATTTGATCGAAAGCTAAAATTCGCTGTGAATCAAGATATCATTTCACCAATTACAAGATCATATTTGGTTGTGCATATATTACCCTTTTATTGGCTCAATCCATCAACGATCATTTTCTTTCGTGTACACGAAATCGATTTCAATACGAAATGAAGTGAACAAGATGCCATTATTTCATTCAACAGGTGACCTACGACTTTTGTTCGTTTATTTAGTTTGAAATATGGCCGACTTCCTACTTTGAACACACAGGGAGAAGCCTAATTATGTTCCTACGGTATATAATTGATTCGAGAAAATTGAAAAGTGAAGATCGCATACGTGGTTCACTTTATTATGAAAGGTGCTGTATACAAAAACAATCTCGAAAGAAACTTGCGTAAAATATGATTGTAGGACTCTTGCTTGATGTGAACGATATTTCGTCTGTTTTTAAACCGATGTGAAGTGTTTTGAGAAGATTTATTGGCAAAATTTCAATTTTGATATAAAACATTTCACTTCATATGTTCGAGACGAATTTCATTCGAATAGAACCTATATAATTTCTAATAAATTGATAATTTTACATAAAAATATAAATAATCAAAGTGATTGACACAAGGTGATATTCCGTGGTATGAAATTAGTGCGTGTGCCATGGGTATTTAACATTTTTCTGCCAAAGCTTTGACACAGAAAATCAAAGCACGATCAATCAAATTTAATAAGTCATTCGACTGAGCAAAATATTATGATGTTGAAAATAACTAATAATACGAATGAAAACACGAAAAAACTGGTGCTAAGCCAAGTGGGCTATCACTTCTGAAACGATGCTTCCTCTAGTCAGGTATGGCCTATTTTTTTAATAGATTTTATATTTTTTAAGTAGTTAACCTTGAGCTAAAAATGCAAATAATAATTTTCAAACTTGTATTGTAGATTCTAAAAACAATTCCACCTGCTGGAAATTGATAATGAATAGAGAAGATCATATATAGGTACTGGGAAAAATATGTCCTACTTATGTATACCGAGCATTTGAAAAGTTTAATCATTATTTGTAGATTTTTCCTTCGCAGAAAGTTTCATAGATATATACAGAAAGTTGATGATTGAGGCAGTTTCCATTTTAACCATCATGCTTTAGAATATTCAATGAAACCAATGAAGCTAGTTAGAGTGGCCCCTTTAGGGTTTTTATTTCTTTCATTTCTCTAACTGAATTTGTTTTTCCTCGTCAGTTTCGTTCGTCTGAGCCAGAATTTTGTTATTTCTAAGCAACGAGAGAAAGAATTGAGCATTCGCTTAATGGTCCGTGAATATTTCATTATAGGAAATAGGGCGAAGGTAATTGGGATGGTTAATCTGGCAGCGAATTTGCTCGGTTTGGGCAGCATAGCATAATATACCACGCTATAATGTCTCAACATTTTACTATCCAGTATGAAAGAAATCTGAAGAAAACTATTTCTTTTCCTCAAATATAATTCGCTTCGATTTTGGTTGTATGACAAATTGTTATTCATCATACAGGACGTGGAAAGAAATGCTCAATTGAGAAAATCCAATCACTAATCTGCGATAAAAAGTCTATAAAAAAACTTTCCATCGTTCAAGTTTGAAACCTTTGTATGAGTGGTAGTATTGAAAAGAAATATTCTCAGGTGAATTATGAATATAAAAAATGGATATATATATATACAAGGTGTTTTTGAAATAAGTGCACATATTCAGCACATTAATATGATACAGTCTAAGGAATATTCCCATGATATCAGATTTTTTCTATTTCTTCTAATTTACGAGAAATATCATCCCAAAAATTGAACAAAATACGAGAAGAAAATCAAGTAAGCCACTTTAAAACAATTTAAATGATTGAACTCCGCGTGATTGTGCCTACCGCATGGAAATTTGAACAGAGGTGACGTCAGATTAGCTACAGTGTAGAACTTTGGGTGGAAATAGGGGTCTAACCTCGAATTTTATTTTGATTCCTAAATTTTTTATTAGTGCCAATCGATAGTACACGTCGAGCTTTCTAGGTGTTTGAAATATTTGCACTTATTTCAATGCCACCTTGTATATATAGGAGAGCACTGCATCATTCACACTACACCCAGTTACCTTTTTTTTAATTCCAAAGAAGGCCGTGGTAATTGAACCAACACCGAGGTATGACTTTTCAGCCAAATCTTCGCACCTTAGCGCTCATCGCCACTTCGGCGACCAGTGATATTTTTTGTTTTCTCAAAATTATTGGATTTGCCCTACCAATGTTTTTTTTCTGGTTCCCACGAAGAGGGATATCCTGTATTGTTCAGAGAACATCGTGAGAACCAAGGAAAATAAGGCAGGAATTGGTGTTCTTCTAAAATTTTTGGAGGTTATATGCCTCGGGGAACACCTTCCTTGGCAATGTGTTCCAGAGCCTCGCTGTTCGTTGGATGAACGAGTCTTTAGAAAGAGATGTTCTGCAGGTCTCCAAAGTGACCACGAAGGGGTGCGGAGCCTCAACTCGACGGGTTAATCTCGCGGAGACTGCCAAGGGAGGAACAATTGTTGATATTTCAGAAGAGCATTGACCATGACAATATCTATAAAATAGAGTTAGATCGCCAACATTCCTACGGTGTTCCAGAGAAGTGAGTGAGTTTGTGAGCGAGGCATCTCCCACGAGACGAATTGCTCTTGTTTGGACAGAATCCAACAGTTTCAGGGTATGTTTGGGAACAGTATTCCAGGAGGTCGGATCTGTGCCTTATAGGATCATAAGCAGCTGACTGGAAGTGAAACAGCTCCTGGCCCGAAACAGAAAACCAAGTTTATGGGATGCACTTTTAGCAATTGATCTCACGTGATTTTCCCAAGAAAGGTTATTGCTGATAGTAATACCAAGCATCGAAATGGATGTCTTCAAAGGTATGGTTACTCCTGACAAACTCATGTTGGGCACAGTGAGATCGGCTTTTCTAGAGAAAAGGCGTGCTTGTGTTTTGTTTGCATTGAAAGCTGACTGGAAGTGAAATAGCTCCTGGCCCGAAACAGAAAACCAAGTTTTTGGGATGTAGAAGCCAAATCAGCCAACACAATGTTCAGAAGTTAATAAACTGTCATTCAAAACAAAAAAACGTCCTTATTAGAAAAGTAGTTTCGACGAAAATTTTTCCTAAACTTGTGGATACTTTTTGGTACTTTTTGGGAGCAAAGGTCCATTTCCTCACATGTGTCGGGCACCATACTTCACACGCGGGAGGAAATAGATACCTTTGCTCCCTTGATATACAGGGTGATCCACGGTGGATGGCCTATTAGAAGTATCTGGGTAACGAAAAGACAAATCATTCTGAAAATTGGGATACTTTGATAATTGAACATTCTCTATCCATCTAAAATATTTTCATCAATACAATGTTGCCACTTCTATCAGAAACAACTAGCAACTTTGTTATTTCAATGGGAACACCCTGTATTTTATTGCATCTTTAGATTCTTTCTGGAGAGCTTATTTCTCAAATGCAAAATTGCAATGAAATACAGGGTGCTCCATTTGAAATAACGAAGTTGCTAGTTGTTTCTGATAGAAGTGGCAACACTGTATCGATGAAAATATTTTAGACGGATAGAGAATGTTCAATTATCAAAGCATCCCAATTTTCAGAATGTTCTGTCTTTTCGTTCTCCAAATATTTCTGATAGGCCATCCACCGTGGATCACCTTGTATAAATATAGCTATTATCGCCCCGAATCCGGAAACACCCTGTATCGACTCACCCTGCCGCTTCCGTCCACTGCGTTCAGATCGGCCTCTGAGATTCCCAGAACGGCGGCGTTCCTCAGCAGGTCCTTCAAGATGACGTCATCACCGTCACGTGCCGCCCTCAGGAGGAGCCGCCCCTCGAGAGAGGCGGCTGCGGGCGGAAGGGCGGTTGCTGTCGGCGACAGCGTGCCCTTCGAGTAGCTGGAAGTATAATAATAATATAGAAGTTTTTCTGCAACCGACACAAAAGTCGTTCATTTTGATACCAAAATTAGCTCTTAAATAGACGTTTCTATTACTGACACAAAAATAGGTATGTTGCTAGGCAACATATTTAGTTCCTAGAAGCTAAAGTTGAATTTTAGTTCCTAGGAGCTAAAGTTGAACTTTAGCTCCTAGGAACTAAAAATAAGGATGTACTGAACGTCATCAAGAATAAACAACATCGTGACGGTTGGTTATTTGGGTTGAGACGCATACCTGATTTGTTTCCGATTTCAGCAGATTTGGGATTTCATACCCATGCTGGAGATATAAATACACCTTATTCTAGTTTAGTATTCGAATTATAAACATCTCAGTTAAGTATTTTTGTTTCGATCAGGGAAGCCTTCAAGATTCAAATACTTGCTTGATCTGTATTTCATTCATTATTCTCGGGATGGATAACTTGTTCTTGAATAATCACGGCAAGCAATAGTTTTTTTGTCAACGATATTGTTTAGCTTCATTTGATTATCCAGTCAAACACAGTGTATATAGTATGGAGAGGAATAAATAATCACTATTATCATTGTTGATATGCTCACTAACCTAACATTTTCCACGTCTTGTTCCTATAGCTGGTACTGGCGCGGTATTTGCCATTAGAGCACCTGCGGTCCATACACAAATATGTCACTCTGTGGTTGTATTTATATTGAAACTACAATTCGAACATCCTAGAAAACCTAACCTGCTGTTAATGCTGGTAGAATATTCTCACCACATGGATTATTTGTCAATATTTGTTGCATTGCATACATATGGCACGGCATTGGTGGTAACTTCACATGTATATTTGAGTTTATTGTTTCGGTTGCAGAAAAAATAGCATGTTTCATTCGGATCAAAAGTGACTTTGTTCGACTCGCAAATTTTGCTTCCGCTCGGCTTCGCTAAACGCTCCGCCTCGCAAATGCAAAATTCGCTTGTCAAACAAAGTGTCACTTTTGATCCTAATAAAACAATCTACTATTATTCAAGCAACCTGAATTTTCCAAACATATAAAAATGTACAAATAAAAAAGCAAAAGTTCGAAAAAAAAACGATAAGTACAAAATGTACTTGTTTCGTTAAACGAATATAGATAAAATACAAAAATATACATGGATACATGAAAAGAAGTAGAAAATATACTTATAGAAACGAACATGAATATACAAAATATACATGGATATACATAAATAATTCTAAATCAATTCAAAATTGAGAAATATAAAAAAATTTAATTATGGATCTATACATGGCGATAGTACGTAGAGACTTATTTTGCGCAATTTGTAGGATTTTTATTTACTCGAATAGTCGTAGCAGCTGATTTCTTTGACATTGAAGTATGTGTTTCTTCAGTTGTTTTTTGAAGCTGTGAATACTCACTAGTGATTTGATGATTTCAGGAATGCTATTATATAGCTTTGGAGCAAAGTAAGTATAGGAGCGTTGAGCAACGACCCTAACCATTAGTGGTGTGATATAATGATCCCTTTGACGAGTATTGTACTGATGGGCAGGAAGCGATGCTGAATGTTTGTTTGCATGATATCTACTGCTGGAGCACAAAAAATACAATTGTCTTATGTCCAACATCTGTGTTTCAGTGTATAGTTCATCAGAAGGATATCGATTTTTTTTTGGAAAAAATCAGTTTTAGAAAAGGTCTGTGCATTACTTCGATGGAATGAATATGAGTATTCAAAGCTCCGCCCCACACTATTATTCCATAGCGGATGTGACTTTCCACAAGAGAATAGTATAGAGTTTTGAGGTACTTGAGAGGTAGGATATCCTTAAGTTTTCTGAATCTGAATAAAATTGTCCTCAATTTATTGACAATGTACTTGATATGCGAATCCCATTTCAAATGGGCGTCAATGATAATTCCTAGATATTTAATTTTTTTTTCTTGTTGAATATCGAAAACTGTATCTGTCCTGATCGAAAGATGTGAATATATGTTTCGTCAATTTTGGAGAATGGCTGGAAAAGTTCTTATACACTCGCATGCAAAAAAAATCGACCGGTAGAAACATTCAACTAAATTAATCGCCCTGTACCTTTTTCAATTCCTAGTGGAATTCCGAAAAAACCGTGAATTCATAATCCGCAATTACAGCCTCAATTTCAGTTCATGAGTAAAAGCTGATGGCTTGGTCATTATAAAGGGAAAACAAAAGTTCCTTTCCATAAGTTTTCAAGACCCTGTAGCAAAAGTGAATAATAATAGAACTTAGATATTTTCAAGAAAGTTAGAGGAGAATAAAATTGCTGTATTTTTTTATCTACTCGTATCTACCTATAGATAGCAAATATTTTACCATGAAAATTCCACACCAGTATAATTTTTAACCAATCAATTTTTTTTTGTTGTAAAATTCCCATGTTATCGGACATTTTCTTCTCTTGAGTATGTACCCAACACCGAATTAAAAGGGACATTCTTTGACGTAAATTACTAAACAGTCGCTAAGTTCGCAATTTTTTAAAATCAATTGACAAAATTAGACTGACAGAAATTTGATTACTTCGAAAGAATGATTAAGATGCCTCCAACGCAGGTGTAATTCCAGTTAAAATCTGATTTTAATAGCTCCCGGTTTTTCGTCACAACCTGGAGCTGAAATCTGCTTCTTTTTTTCTTTGTATAATAAATACCTATTTTGTAGGATAAAACTTTCCTGCAACATTGCTTCTTTCACAAGTCTCATCAAAAATTTTCAACGGAATAGACGAGGGAAAAGAAGATAGAAAATTTTTTTCTTGATCAAATTTGTTTCAGGAATTTGAATGTCGGCAAATTCGAAAATGAGAGTACTGCATTCACCGTTTTTTAACTATGAGATTACTCAGGATATTCAGAGTTTGAACATATTTTCAGGAAAAACACACAGGGTGTTATTTAAGTACGTGGCCAAACTTGAAGGGGTGATTCTTTGAGTGATACAGGGTGTCAAAATTTTTAAAAGAAATCGTTTTTTTCGTAAATATCTTAATAACCCTTCGACCGATTTTATTGAAATTTGGCAGTGTCATTCAAGGTCGTAAAGGGCTAATAACCCTAACTATATCAAAATTATCATGTCCAGTGGCGTCCCGGAAGGCACTGTAACCAATATTTTTGACAGAAAAAATGTGCGCCACTGATTTTTTTGCAATTTTTGTATTTGTTTCACATTGAGCAACTAAAATTACAACTTTTTTATTTCAAGAATTTTTTTCGTATCTTGCTTTGTTTTTGAAAAAAAAACATAAAAATCACTTCATGGCACATCCCTGTGACAACACAATAAAACATTTCAACTACTGAACCATCAAAAACTGGGGTCTTACTTATATTTTTTTATATCAATACAAAAATTGCAAAAAAATCAGTGGCGCACATTTTTTCTGTCAAAAATATTGGTTACAGTGCCTTCCGGAACGCCACTGGACATGATAATTTTGATATAGTTAGGGTTAAATTAGCCCTTTACGACCTTGAATAACACTGCCAAATTTCAATAAAATCGGTTGAAGGGTTATTAAGATATTTACGAAAAAAACGATTTCTTTTAAAAATTTTGACACCCTGTATCTTGAAAACGAAGCATTACCGGACCTATGTTTATATGAACTTTTCGTCTTAGAATCACTCAAAGAATCACCTCTTCAAGTTTGGCCACGTACTTAAATAACACCCTGTATATGTAATGACATCATTACTGACATTTCCAAAGTGTGAAACTATAACGTATTACCTACTTTTACATCCCACCCACGACTGGAAAATTTTCCACCCGTGAACGATGTTTTTCGATACATCTTATGTGATCCCCTTTTTGGCACACCAATCTTTAGACGTATTATCTGCTTTATCATACATCGGTCTACTTTTTTGGTGAGGAGAGGAGATTTTCTTCAGCTTTCTCCGTTCCTTTCTTTATGTCTGGCGGTGTACACTCCAGCTCTATATCCGACATTTTCTAAACAATCGTCTGGACTCTGGCAAGTTTAAAGTGTTTTTTTGAATTGACTCGGCCGTTACTTGATGGAAATCCATGTCAAATGTAGAAACTTTACAAACGATAAGATTTCCACAAAATTCTCAAACACAGGACACGTTTCGCTAACACAGTAGCTTCGTCAGGTGATATACAGTGTCATTCATAAAGTCGGCATCATATAGGAAAAACTTTTATTAATGACTTATTTTGAAATTCGAGTTGGACTTTGATTTTTGCTTCAAAGAAGATTAAAAACGGCCTACTCAATCGGGGTCACGTGACTTTCGCTACATGTCAAAAGTGACATTTTTTCAAATTAATCGCTGAAAGTAGGCTTATTTGTTCGAATATCGAAAAAGTTCACTTAAAAAAGTTGTTTCTATTTGAATTTTACATATGTGACTCGAATTTTATATTTCTTTTACATTTCTTAGATTTCGATATTTTTTAAAAAATTTCGAAATTTCTGTAATATTAAAAAAATTGTAAATTCGATGAAACTACTACATACCAGTAGCTTCATCATGTTTCTAACTTTCAATTACTAATTATCACTAATTATCGACAAAAATACGATTTTCTTCAGAAAATGATAATCTCCGCTTCAAAATTCTGTTATCTTTGATGCAAACATAACATCAAAATTCTGTTATGTTTGAGTCAAGCATTTAGAAACGAAATTCATTTGAATTTATTTTTTCAGTACTGAAAAGATCAGTTTAAATGAATTTCGTTTCTGAATGCGTGACGATATATCAACTTTGCATCAAACATAACAGAATTTGGAAGCGGGTATTATCATTTTCTGAAGAAAATCATATTTCAGTCCATAATCAGTGAGAATAAGTAATTGAAAGTAAGTAGTATGAAAAAGCTAGTGGTATGAAGTAGTTTCGTGGAATTAACAATTCTTCAAGTATTACAGAAATTTCGAAAAATAAAAAAAAATCAAAATCTCAAAGTTGCAATAGAAAGATCAAATTCGAGAAGCATGTGTGAAATTGAAATAGAAACAACTTTTTTAAGTAAACTTTTTCGATATTAGAACAAATAAGCCTACTTTCAGCGATTAACTTGAAAAAATGTCACTTTTGACATGTAGTGAAAGTCACGTGACCCCGATTGAGAAGGTCATTTTTCATCTTTTTTGAAGCAAAACTTAACGACCAACTCGAATTCCAAAATAAGTCATTGATAAAAGTGTTTCCCATATGATGCCGACTTTATGAATTACACTGTATACTGGTACAATGAACTCTATGAATTTTGTAGAAATCTTATCGTTTGTGAAGTTTTCATAAGTTTATAGTGATAATAAACGCCATCGAAACGAGAGAAACAAGTTTTCGCCTACTTACTCTTGAGAAAATGAGTTATTTGTTGTCAGTTGTCATCATAGAAGTTATTTTTATATGGGTGTCTTTGTAATTTTATTGTTGAAGTTTAAGAAAAAATAAAGAAAAATATGCTTTTCATCCGAATTTCTTTTTAAAAGACTATAGTTGTGAATGAAATAGCATACAAACCTCGGTGAAAAGTTACATCACAGTTTCGAGAACACAGCAATAAAACATTTTCCACCTTGGTATGTAATGTACCATTAATTCTCGAAATTTTGAGTGCATGATTTTACACACTTTTTGGTCGACCAAAAAGAAAAGAAAAGATCGATACTGTACCTTCCAGTGGGATAAACTCGTCTTCTGACTCCCGGCGATCCGGCAACTAACACACCGGTGCTTCGACTCAAAAACTGCGGCGCGTACTCCTTATTTCGACGGCCGCCGCGTACCACGACGCCTGTGTCTATCTGGACGGACGCCGAACGTCGACTGGCGCCTCTTCTCGGCGCTTTCGGTGTTCTCGGCGCGTTCTCCGCGATGTTAGGCGGTCGTTTCGGTCCGGAGGCGGCGAAACGGTGCGATCGGGGACCGCTAACGCCATCTGACGGCGGTAGGGTGAAGCGGACTCGACGGGGCTGGAAGAATTGGAATTATTGGGGATTGTTTTTCTATTTTTATTAAAAAAAAAAAGGAGGAAGGAAAGCTCAAAAATCATCTCCACATCTTTAATAATGATGTAGGCAATCAAAGGAACATGTTCTCTAGAAAGGCGGAACTCAGTATGCCCGATATTGTAATGTCTGGCTCCACCATCCCCACCAAGCCCACCATATATATGCTCGGTATTTCCATCAGCAACACTCTTTCATGGGATAATCATGTCAGATCCATCGAAAAAGCTGCTTCGCAAAAACTCGGATTCTTGTTTCGTGCGAAAAGCTACTTTACACCTCAACAGCTTCTCATGATCTACAAAGCGCAGATACGGCCTGTTCTAAAATACTGTTCCCACATATGGAATTCAGCACCAAAACATACGCTGATGCTCTTAGAATCCATCCAGAGAAGAGCCATTCGCCTGGTGGGAGACGCCACACTCACTCACTCTTTGACATCATTGGAACACCGTAGAAAGGTCGGCGACCTTTCACTTTTCTATTGATACTTCCACGAGAAATGTTATTCGGAAATCTCTGCTATCATCCCTTCACTAGCAATACCAATTAGACGAACTAGACAAGCCCAGTCAGCACATCCTCTTGTTGTCAACCTCGAAAGATGTCGAACAGCACTTTATCAAGACTCCTTCATCCATAGAACGGCTAGGCTCTGGAATTCATTGCCTGTGGAAGTATTCCCAACAACATATAATCTCCAAAAGTTCAAAAAAATTTCCAATACCTACCTCCTGTCCCTATCCTGCCTAGGAACGCACGATGTTCTTTGAACATTATAGGGATTCCCTTTCGTGCGCTCCAAGCGATAAAAAAAATGTTTCTGACTTATAAAAGTCCATATTCAGCCGTATTTTGGAGGTTACTACAAGCAAAGGCATGTGGAAATATACATATTGTTATAAAACCAAGAATTGACTTACATGGAGGTGAACATCATATGTTTCTAAAATGGATGCCGATGACTGTCATCATGATATCGTGATTGATAATAAATAAGTTTTAGTTTGAAAATAAAATGGGTTTTCGTTAAAAATAAATGGCCCCGTGCCCTAAGAAAGCGCACTTATGAAATCAAAAGTCAAGTCCTAGAAGGGAAACTTGACGAGCACTCGAAGTACTCGAAAAAATCATTTTTGGTTGTAAAACAGGAAAAACCCATCCATGGAAAAACCAGAGAGTCCTGTACCCTTGAGAGAGAAAAATCCAAAAATCAATTTAGAATTGATGGGGTCAAAAACCAAAAGAAACACGGAATTCATTTCTTAACATGTCCCTTCGATTGACTAAATCCTTATTAGAGTTGTGGAGTTGACTTTGACCTTACCTTCCTCCTTTTAAATATTCCATTCCATATTCTGCAGGTCTCCAAAGTGACCACGGAGGGGTGCGAAGCCTCAACTCGACGGGTTAATCTCGCGGGACTGCCAAGGGAGGAACAATTGTTGATATACCAGAAGAGCATCGTCCATGAAAATATCTATAAAATAAGATCGACAACTTTCCTACGGTGTTCCAGAAAAGTGAGTGAGTCTGTGAGCGAGGCATCACCCACGAGACGAATTGCCCTTTTTTGCATAGATTCCAACAATTTCAGGGTATGTTTGGGTGCTGCACTCCAAATATGGGAACATTATTTCAGGACAGGTCGGATCTGTGCCTAATAGATCATAAGCAGCTGACTGGAAGTGAAATAGCTCCTGGCCCGAAACAGAAAACCAATTTTATGGGATGAACTTTTAGCAATTGATCTCACGTGATTTTCCCAAGAAAGGTTATTGCTGATTGTAGTACCAAGCATCGAAATGGATGTCTTCAAAGGTATGGTTACTCCTGACAAACTCATGTTGGGCACAGTGAGATCGGCTTTTCTAGGGAAAAGGCATGCTTGTGTTTTGTTTGCATTGAAATCTACCAAGTTATTGGATCCCCATTCGAGAATTGTTGCCAAGTCCATATTTATGTTGTCAACATTTCTCGTTCGTTTCTGATTTGCCTGGCTGGTATTGGAGCCCTGAAAGAGAAGGCGGTATGGAGGGTACTATCATCCGCCAAGCTGTGTACTGCTTCCAACAAATCGTTGGTATGGAGTAGAAATAGTGTTGGTGCTAGAATTGATCCTTGCAGAACAACAGCATTTATGATAAGAGAGTCAGATGAAGCTCCGTCGACCTACATAGAGAGACCTGTTTGAGAGAAAACTAGCTAGCAGAGAACATAGCTGGGGAGGCAAGCCATAAGATGGAAGCTTGGCGCCAGACTCGATCGAATGCCTTGGAGATATCAAGTGCCACGGCTAAGGTTTCACCATATTTTTCAATAGATTGCTGCCATATATGTGAGACGTAAGCGAGCAGGTCACCAGTTGATCTCTGATTACTGAAGCCATATTCAGGGCCGTCTCTAGCGGGTGTGCGAGGTGTGCACAGCACACCATCAGGCCAGAAAGGGGCGCCAAACGTAAGGGAAAATGATAGAAAAATTACTACTTTCAAATTAAAATATTCATTGAAAAATTGACTAGTTCCATTCCAAACATCAAAATATGCCGCCGAAAGGCAAAGGGGGTCGGGACAGGAGCGTAAAAAACAAAGTACGGAATATAATAAGTTGGTTATCTTTCGTGAAATCCTTTGTCCGCACGCGCACGATTCCATAATGCGTTTGATGCAGTCCCGAATTAGCCAAATATTTTTGCTCACTTTTCAGGAAGCCGGTGGCGGCAAACAATGTATGATCTTAACAATTTGCAATTCGCCTTTGAAAGCCGCCCAGGGCGCCCAGCGGCACTAGGTTATTTTTATTTATAGTCGGCGTTTTTTTCACACAGATAATTTGATGTGGGGGTTTGAGTGCGGTGGTATATTGGACAAAGTTCATGGAATATTGTCATTGACATTGTCTTTTAATCTACTTCAGTGATTCAGTTCGTTTCATGGTCTCCAGTGTTCGTGTTTCATTAAAGAAAAAAAAAATGAAAAACTAGGAGTGGAAATATAAAATTAAGTATAGTGACTGGAAATATTTCATTTGCGTAGTCAATTTTATCATGAATTCTATGAATTATAGGAGAGGAAATCTAAAAAATTATCACAAAAGCAAAAAATTAAAAGTGGCTGTAATGTACTAGCTCTTCACAAATAATTTAGTTCATTTGTTTTCAAATTTCACGGTAGCTTTGAGAATTTTGCTAACACTGCTAGTATCTGTTGCAACAGGAGATAGATCTTTCTCGAAATTGAAAATAATAAAAAAATATTTGAGGTCGACAATGTCCCAAGAAAGATTGTCTAGTTTAGCAACTACATCAATAGAATCGAACTCATTAGATACTTTGGATATAAGCGATTTAATTAGAGATTTTGCTACTCAGCAAGCCCGTAAAAAGTGTCATTTTTGAGAATTGCAGTATTTTTCCTTGTGTGTTCATTAAATTACTGCCTATAACTCACCTGAATACTCTCTGTTGATAAAATATGAATTCATTTCTAGAGTTCGTTCTCGGCTCTGGTTGTTAATTTCAGAATTTATTTTTATTTTTATATATATTGATGATTTGTTAAATTGAATTTTCATTATACATAAACGTATTCATTTTTTAAAATGAAACTGTTGAAAACATCAGATAGTTTCATTTTATATTTTGTTGCATCAGCTTTCAGTTTGCTAATTCAATAAACTCCAATAGGGGCGCTACTCTGTGATTTGCACACTAGCAGACAAATCTGTAGAGCCGGCCCTGGCCATATTGCCTATCGTTGATAATACCTGAATGTTCCAGGTATTTCATGAGCTCGATGTTGATAGCTTTCTCCATGATCTTTGAAATAATAGACTTCTGACAAGATATATTTTCAATTGCAGCGACTTTTTTATATATGGGTTGTTGTGACCTATACTTGTGTGAAATCTTATATTTTTCATACACAGAGAGTTTTGCAAATAGTGGATAGATATTATTACAAAAAGACCGATATCACACATTGACCAACTTGTATAGCGGTTAAGATTGAATTACAGAAAACCAGATTCGACGAAAAAACAAGAAAAGTAATCGATTTTACAAGAAATCAGTGTTCCGGAAAATTAATGTTTTCAAGCTCTAGTCTTCATCCTGTTCGCTAATTTGGTGAATACGCCTACACCAAAATTGTGAAGAGACTTCACCATTTTTTGAAAGACTTAACGTACCCTGAAGCTTCAAGCTGGGGACAAAGAAACAAATCAAATCGATGGAAGATAAATTTTCTGTTTTCGAAGATACAAAAATCTTCATAATTCGAAAACCTTTGGAGTGAGATATAGAGAACTCTATATCAATTGAAGCAGAATACACTCGTGCGTTCAATTATCAAATAATATACAGGATGTTCGATTTGAAGAAATTACTTTCGGGGCATTCGAATGCCTCCAAATGACATGGAAGTTTTGACCACACTGTTCGAGTTTTGGTAAAATTCAAAGTTTCAATTTTGAAAATTTTGAAAATGAATAATTTTGAAGATGATACTGATGCACCACTCACTGTCCCTCACAATTCTCCACAAAAATTGTATCAGGTCAAAAAGGTTGAAAATTACTATAGGGACAAATCATACGATTTTCTTCAGAATGATACGTAGATTTGAAGAAATTCAAAATACAGGATGTTCCATTTAAAATGAAAACGTTTGTGTCCACTTCCAGTTTGTTACATCCCCCGCGATATTTCATATCAATTGTTGATCTTCACGCATAAATATGATGTTCCAAATTTCCAGAATTTCATTCGAATTGGAGCAACGCGAACTTCTAACAATCGAGGATTACGTGATACTGATAACCCTGTATATTATGGTGTGCAATGTGCATTGAATGCATTATTATTATCGAACAGGCCCATTGGCGATTGAGCAATCCTTCATTAAGGATTTGGACTGCGTACACACTGCCAGATAGTATTTTAAAGCTGATAATTCAATATCGTGTGGCACATGTCTGCTGTCTCAATGGTGCCCATTCGTTTTGAATTATGCATCGGTTGTTGGCACACCTGGAATATCGCCTTATTACCACCCGATTTTTATCGACGCAATATCGTTCTACATTCATCGGTATAATGTACTGAGCGTTCCAATTTATGGCATCGCATCATTGGCGTCGCCACTGCAAGATAAATAGGCACCTTGTCCTCTTTCCTCTTCGCTATTGATTGAACAGATTCAATTTTTCGATATTCCTTCGAAAAAGTAGGGGCTTTTCGTCGTGAATAGGGCAATAAATAATGGAGAATAGCAGTGAAAGCAAGCATAAAAATTTTCTTGACGAAATTTTCAATGCACCAGCTACTTTTATAGTAGGTACAATAATTGTAACCTGAACGAGAGCAATGAAGAGGCAGATTCACTTGCCCGAGCAGGAGCAAACAAAGCTCTGAATGGCCCAGAACCCTTCTGTGGTATTGCGAAAGCTATACAAAAGACTAGTATCGAATCATGGATGCAAACCAAATCTCAAGAATGGTGGAACAACTCGCCAGGAATGAGACAGGCAAAAGAGTTTATCAAAAAACCATCGCCAACATTCACAGAATATCTACTGAGCCAGAAACGAAGTTCAACTAGAATACTAGTGGGACTTCTCACAGGGCATTGTAGGCTCAACAAACACATGAGTACGATAGGTCTGACTGAAAAACTGCTCTGCAGGTTCTGTCAGGAAGAGGAGGAAACAGCAGTACACATACTTTGCCACTGTGAGGGCTTATCAACACTAAGGTTCCTTACGCTGGGTGAGGAAAAACCAGAAGCCCAAAGATACACAGGGGATCTGAAAGCTAGCCTATGGAGTCTCAAAGAGAAAGCGGGGCTAGCCAAATAACTTTAAACGATTTTGAGACCTGAAAACCTGAAAAATCAAAGGCTTGGTACGAAACTGTTTGATTCGTTCAAAATTGAACTAGATGGATATCGAGAAATGCAAAACTTTGACAGATGATGTAATTCTGGCTTATTCGTCACGGAAGAAGGACATTATTGTCGAATCGTCTAACCGAGAGAAAAATATTTTGATATACAGGGTGAATCTAAATAACACCAAGAAAATTCAAGGAGTGATTCCTTGTGATATTTCAGGAAATAAAGTGATATTTTCATTTAAAATCTTTTTTCTATATTCATTCCTGAATTCCATGAAACGTTGTGGTTTTGTAAATAGTAATATGGAGCTTCATCTAGTGCAATTATATTCTAAATAATATTTCCAGTGGCGTCACAGTGGGTGAATTTAGTTTCGTATTTTTATTAGATTGAACTATTGAAATAACAACTTTTTCATTCTCTGTGTGATTTTTGTATTTATAACTCGGTTTTTTAGAAAACAATAAAAATGTTATGTGCTCCAAATTTTAATGTAGGTGTATTCAATACTTCCATTGAGATTACTGAATCACCCCAATTAGAATCATTTTGAAATTTAGAGGCTTTCTCAGTCTCCACCCTTACTGAATTTTGGCACATACAAGTTTATACAGGGGGGCTATGAATAAAAACAATTAATACTTCCAACTTCAACATCCTGTATCTCAAAAACGGAGCAAGTTAGGACACATGCTTGTATGAACTTTATTTGCTAGAATATCACAAAAAATCACCCGTTGAATTTTTTCGGTGTTAATAGTAGTCAGTACTATTTTCAATAGGAACTTGCCAGCAAATCTCCAATTGTTATCAGAATTACCCTATTCGCCTAAGAACTTACAATTATTCCAACTAATCACTAGTATAAACTGGGCGTCAATTGAAACGTTAATAGTGAAATTTGGCATCAAGTTTGACTTCTCGTAATTTCTAAAATATTGAACGAATTTTGAATTGCCGCCCAGATTCTGAATGCCTTCTTCATCGTCTTTCGAACCGTTCCTTACAGCTTCTTCTAAATTGATCAGGACCCGTGATACAGGGTGAAACAAAGTTTCGTGCATTTTGAAAAATATTTCTCCGCCCCCCCATTTTGTCGGAGGACCACGTTGCCCATATTTTATTCGGGCATTTCATAAATAGCAACCATACCTCGGGACGTTTTCGAGCTTCTGCAAAAGACGACTGTGGTTTCAGAAAAAAAATGTTTTGCATTTTTTTCAAATGGACTACTTTTAGAGGAGTTCCATAAATGAATGATTCATTACTTCGCAGTCTATGATAAAAGTGTTCTACCTTAGTGAGCAGTAAATCAACACATCTCATCAACAAAAACAAACAACGATACCTTGTTTCTATAACATCGTATTGTTGAAACAATGTAGGTATGCGTAGAGGTTATATCAATTGCCAATTTTCATGAAAACGTCAGTGTTATTCAGGTCCTAAAAAGTTTAAAGATGCCTCGTTCAAATCGGGTCGAAATGGAAAATATCATTAGGTGAGATCACTATAGTGATATTAACTATAATTCAGTACAGATAATTATTATTTCAGGTTACGACGATTAGGATATACCAAAACTTATTATATTATTATATTATTATATTATTTAAGTACGATTCTCAATAAGTCAGTCATGACAATAAATATACTGATTCATCGTTTTGAGGATACAGGTAGTAATGTAATCCTCCAAAATTAGTCCATTAAAAAAAAATGCAAAAAAAAAATTTTTTTTGAAACCACAGTAGTTTTTGGCAAAAACTCGAAAACGTCCCGAGGTATGGTTGCTATTTATGAAATGCCCGAATAAAATATGAGCATTGTGGTCTTCCGACGAAATGGGGGGCGGAGGAATTTTTTTCAAAATGCACGAAACTTTGTTTTCCCCTTTATCACGGGTCCTGATGAATTTAGAAGAAGCTGTAAGGAACGGTTCAAAATACGATGAAAAAGGCATTCAGAATCTGGGCAGCAATTCAAAATTTGTTCAATATTTTAGGAATCACGAGAAGTCAAAATTGATACCAAATTTCACTATATTAACGTTTCAATTGACGCCCAGTTTATACATACCTACTGGGTTTTCCTAACAACGGTACGACATTCCAGAGGTATCTCAGGAATTAATAGTCACCCTCCGAATATTCATTCCGTTTTTAGCAAACACCCTGTATAGTAGGTAACGGATTATCTATCCAATTTTCAGTAACAATATTATACTTGCCCCTCATCACTACCATTAGCCTTATTCTTCGATATGAACCTGAATTATAATCGTTAATTTCAGGAAATAATAATTCTCAATTTTCCCTGGATGATCCCCTTTTCGAAGTTACTTACCCTCTGAAAATAATTAACGACGCCCCCATTTTCGTCCGCCCAGTTACAGTTCATCCCTCTAGCGGATTTCCGTTCGGGAATTCCGTTTTCGAGGACTTTTTGCCGGGAAACTCCCGAGGGCTTTTGGGCGACCGCTTTTCCTTCTTTCGGCCCATTTTCCAGCACGGGAAGTTCGACGACCTTATTCGGGTTCAGTTTCTTGCTGGATTTCGCGAATTCCGTCTATATAGGGAAGAAAGAATTCGATGTATACAGTATACAGTGTGACCAATATTTGTTGTTGTTCTTTATCACCCCAAGAAACATATTTGTTTATAATAGGGGTGATGAAAACTCCGTTGTTATCAACACAAAACTATCACTGCGACATATCATCTGTTAAAGAAAAAAAAAGTTATTTGTAACTATGTCATAGTGAGCTATGACCTACATTTGAAAAACTAAAGTTGGTGCTGATATCTCAAATTCTAGAAGAGCTGGTATAAAATTCATATTTTTTTCGAAATCACTTTGAAAAACTGTCATGAGAATGTGAAATTCCTATATGAATATTTTCATAAATGAAGACGTTACGGAGGAGACATGAAAATGATCAAAATCTGTTTTATGCGTATAAAACAACAACGAATAGATTTTATCGAAATATTTTCTCACATTATAGTTGGCCTTGACAAACCTCACATTTGGTGTCATTTAACCGACCCCGTATCTCTCACCGTTAAAAAGATACCCATGGTGAGCATGGTAAGTGGGACACACTGTATAAATTCGTGTGCGAAATTCAAAAATTCCAGTAAGTACAGGAAACCATTATCCATGTTATCTACCTGCATGGGCTTTTTTTCCAATTTAATACCAGAAGATTTTGTTTTCAAATTCTTATCGTGTTGGAATTTTTTTTGAACTTCTGGAGATTATATGTTGTTGGGAATACTTCCTCAGGCAATGAATTCCAGAACCTAGCCGTTCTATGGATGAAGGAGTTTTGATAAAGTGCTGTTCGACATCTTTCGAGGTTGACAACGAAAGGATGTGCTGACTGGGCTTGTCTAGTTCGTCTGACTGGTCTTCCTAGTGAAGGGATGATAGCAGAAACTTCTGAAGAATATTTCCCGTGGGAAACTGAACTAAACTGATTTCCTGTAGATTCAAATTTGATGATATAATTAAGGTTCGATTAGAATACATAATTAAGCGAGTGCATGTCACCTTGAAGAAAACTGTGCATTGACATGAACTTCTTGTATAAAGGACACTTCTCAGGGCGTAGAATAAATTGAAACGTAAATGAAACACCAAGTTTCATCAGGACAGAACTATAGGAGTGGTACAATATTGATGGCCCTGTTTCAGTGAAAAAATGTTTTGCATTATTCTGAACTATACTAACCCAAACTAGTGCACTCTCTCAAACCGTTTTCTTCTCAGACCTCTGCACAATAATTCATAAATATTGCAACTATATACGATACGACTTTCATCAGATTATACGTTATATATACTTTATACAGGGTGATTCAGGTTTTGAGGTGATAGATCTCATCATCTTAATCAAAAAGATCATATAAATATGAGTCCGATCTCGATCAGTAGCAGAGCTACAAGAGGTCAAAGATTGATTATTTTTTTCTATCAATCAGAATATCTTGCTCACTTTTGAAGTTAAGTGAGGTTGTTACTTCCTGATGACATAATCTAGTTACCGGATTATGTGGATTGTTCAATTTGGAGACTTCAATTTGCTTTTCAATTTTTTTCTAGAAAATGTTGAATCTGCCTAAGTTTCGCTTTGATTTTATTCTTGGAGAAAATACAACCAAATTTAAAATCTCAAAGAACCTCGGCCTTCTACCCTTTGTATCCCCGCTACTGATCGAGTTGGTTATTTTAGTACATTTTACGGCATTTTCCACGAATTCCGTCCAATAATGAAATTTAAGCGAAATAAATAAAATAGGCCAAAATTAACATGTTTTCAGAACGGTTATGCTTATTTGTATCGAAATCGGTTGGTTTCTCGAAAATAATTGAATGGCAAAAAAAGCATGCGAATTGAACGATATATTTCTTGACTGGAAGATGTCAGACGAGTACCCCCAAAGACGTATCACCCTGTAGATTCTAAAAATCTTCAAAATTCTTTTAATTTTTATCTTCTAGAAAGTATACACCACACCCAATTTCAAATTGATATCTTCAAAAGTGAACGAGCTATTTCAAATAATAGAGAAAAAATAATTCAAAAAAATAATTGAACTTTGACACCTCAACCTTTTCTGCAACTGATCGAGATTGGACTCATTTTTATATTAGTTTTTCTGATGGAAATGATGAGATCTATCACCCATTTCACATTGTACCTTGAAACCTGAATTACTCTGTATATTGATGGTTGAAAAATTATTCACTATTGGTTCGTGTATTTTGTTGATCTGTGGCTCGAATTTTCTGATTTCTCTTCCAAAATTTTTGAAATTTTGTGATGATTGAAGCCATATATCACAATAGTTTGGATACTTAACCTATGATATTAGGGAGACACAAATTATGAGAGCACTTATAAATTTCTCAAATATTGTTCAAATCTTCAATTTCCGGGGTTTCACTAGAACTATGAATGAAAAAGTTGTGGATAGGAAAAATATACACACTACACTGCTTTTCCACAATCCGAACCGATTATTTTACGCCTCAAGACTTTTTTCGCTAACTATGTTTTCATCTTCAGGAGAAGATTCAGTATAAAACATTTTTTCTTGGTTTTTTCCATAATTAATGTTGGTGGGGGCCAATTCCGCACCTGCCTTATGTACTTGATACTCAATCGTCATTTTGCCTTGTTGGGAGGTGATGGGACCATTGTATACCAGGCGCCGTTTGTGGCCAACTTGATTGTAGGAAAGTTCTCATTCGGATGTTCGTGTTTGTCGTTCATTGATTATTCGTCTACACCTGTTAAATTATAGTTTGCTCGAAAAAAAATATCGCTCTTCGAGTGTTCACACGATCATTCTAGTTTTGAGTCCCGATAAAAACATTTGGGCTGATTGAGGTTAGATTCTAAAAATACTTGAAGCCTAACATTTTTTTTTTCGAAATCACTTCATTTCATGTTCACGATATTTATTTCATTTCCAGAGCTTTACGATTATCAATATTTTTTCATTATTAGTTACCAATACTCATTGATTTTTGATAAATTTAAAGAAGTGTTATGTTTTTACCCGAAAAGGTCCTACTATATGTAAAACGAACTCCCAAATCTAGAATTGTGGAAAATAGTATGTTCCATTTGAAATTAATTGTCAAAATTCAAAAACCTAATCTTGGACCATTCAAATAGTTACACCTGGTATACACTACCCAGGTATTATACCTATTACATAGATTGAACATTATTTCACGGTACATTTTGTTATAGAAAATTCCGCTTGACAGCTTTCTTTGATTTATCTCTCTTTCAGTACATAACTAATTAATTATCTATTGTAATGTTGTCACTATGAATAGGTGAGTAGCTAGATCTATAAATCACTCGTTACTCAGAATAAAATTAACTGGTATTAAATATATTGCGTGCCTCCATATGACCAATCATTGCGAATGAATTCAAGCTGGAATATACATAGAGGGTATCAAAATATAATTTCTATTAGAAGGTTTTCAACTGAGGTGAAAACTATTGGAAGCTAACTGAATACATTTTTTACGGAGTACCCCAAGGGTCTGTCCTAGGACCTGTTCTCTCACTCCTCTATATATTAGTGATTAATTGAAAAGTGTGATGTTCTTTGTTTTCATTTTATTTCATTAGTCAAAACGGGAAGGATCTCTGCACCTCTATCACGCATAAATTATTATGAAAAGAAAAATGTGAATCGAACTCGTTACACTCCTTCTCGAATTGTCTCCTTATTTCATTATTGACACTTCTCAGTGACAGATATTGATGCAAACAAATGATTTACAGGATGTTCTGATCAATTTATCTTGAATTTATCAGTTTCATCAAATTCCCGAAGAAGAATATTTTCCATTTTTGAAAACGTCTGAAGCTAAGGAAGAATTTGATGTTTTTTCGATATATCCATATATAAATACTGTCTGTAGGTGAATCGAGGAGGTGGTACATTCATTATTACAGATTTTTTTGGGATTTTCTCTCATCGTCTCTACGAGGAGTGAAAATTCCAAAAATCTGGTAAAATGAATAAGAGTAAAATTCTCAATCAAGAGATATCATTTCTAAAGATTCGAAACTGGCCTAAATAAACAATATATAACGGATGAAAAATATTATAGAGGCCCCTTTGGCCATCAAGACTAATCAGCAAATCATCTTTGTCGCTTGGACCTGATGACTGATATCGATCAAAACGTGTATTTCTAATCGATTTCAGAATGCATCAACTAACTCCATAATCTTTATTGATTATTATATCATAGAGAAAGTTAGAATAAAATATTTATTCACCAAGTAGACCATTTTACATTGGTATATGAGAAGTGGAAATATCGGGAAATATACACACAAATATGTATTGAATTTATCAATCTTGTTTATCTTGTTTATTTTTCATATTTTTCTTATATTAATTGATGAAATCGTTAAAGGAATGAAATCTCTGATGACTGAGAAATTCTGTTCGCCCCCAATTCTGCAGTTTCCTTGTGGTTAATCCGGCCCTGATTGTGAATATACTTTGATTGGTTGTTGAGAATTAATATGACACTCTTGGTGTTTGTCGGTATATCACGTCAGTCATCGAGAGCTAGCGTTTTTGAGAGGTGATCTTGAAAAAGTATATGTTATGACTATGTATCAGATACTATCAATACACGACACGATCAATATAAAATAGGTATGCACCGAAAATTCCACTATAGGGTGTACCTACAACCCCATTAATTAATTGTCCCCCCCCCCCTCCCTACCAGTCTTATCAATACTTTTACTTTTCATCAGTGATATTTCTGCTTTCCCATCTGTTACTTTCAACCTTGCTGTCAACAATTAATTATAGAAAACACATTTCTTTTGAATATTAATGACAGTAACGCGTATATATATGTGTGCGTGTGGACAACACCTTTTGCAATATTCATCTATTATTTCCCTAGAGACTTGTGTATAGGTACATATAATCCTTTCAGGTTAATAATAATAATAATACACTTGTATATTATATGTGAGTCTATAAATGTTCAATGAT